CATTGGGTTTTCAAAAAACAAAGGAAATTCAGCACTTAATCACAGCTCAGCACTCCACTTACTTATTAGCAAAATGTGGAGTTGAAAGGCAAAATCCCAAGCAGCGTAGTTCTGGTAATAATAAAAACTTCTGCAGATTTTAGCACCGGTGGGTACCTGCCTGTTTGAGCTGCCTCCCAAGGTGTTACAGGGTTATGAAGCACCTGTGTCTGGCAGGGGAGAGCTGATAAACAGCAGGAATGGGACAATGGGATTCTGAGCCTGCAAACTTGTGGGCAGGGCTCTCCTCCATGCGTGACTTGCACCCGGTAGGAAGGAGCCTCCGTCATCTCAGCTTTTCTGTGAAAGAAATCATCTGAATAATTCAACAGAGTTAAGAGACCAAGCTGGAAAAACCCCAAGGTCAGGGATTCAGGCTTGGTTTGGGCTGGGTTTTTTTGTAAATGTAAGGAGAAACATTTCAGGGTTGGGTCAACCAGGCTGCTCACCCTAAAAATTGGTTCTCAGCAGAGATGTCAAAGCTTCAGAAGACATCACACAGGAGAAATACCCTGGAGAACCAGAACCAGCAGTCAACAGGATCTGGGTAAAGCAGCCATCCTACTGAGGGGATCAGATGTACTCTTTGGGAGCACAGCTCCACCAGTGCAGTGGAAAGCTATACCAGACAGGGACTAGGGTTTTCACTTTCTTTAACTAGATCCTAGTGTTAATAGGAATTCCTCTGCATTTGGCAATGTTCTTGACTGTGAAAAACAAATGCAGTGATACCCAGAGGTGGGTCTTCTGGTTTGATCATTGCTTGCATGCTTCTCCAAGCCTGGTCTGTCAGTTTTGGAGGTGCCTTTTGGACCCATTTTTAGCCTGTTTTCCGAAGGCAGCGAGGCACTGACTCTCCATCCCAGCTTTCCAGCCCTTAGTAATTTCTGACCTGTTAGATGAACTTCAACCAGCTTTGACAGAAGGGTAGAGATAGCAAAAATATTAAGTTCCTAAATATTTTAAGGAAATACGGATGAATAAAGGAGAACAATGAAATTACTGTCTTAATCAATTTATAACGTGCTCCCCCTCTCCTTTTGGAGAGGCAGCAGCCCCAGCTCCTGTGGCTTTGACTAGTGTAGGTTACAGAAAAATCTCTGGGAAACCAAACTTTGCTGCTTCACGCTTCAGTGCAGGTGAACAATACAGATGAAGTCAGGGTCAAACCTTGGGAATCTGCTTCGATCTCCCCAGGCAGCACCTTCAGAAACAGCGTTTGCAAATGGATCCGTAAAACTCAGATGGAAAAGATGTTTAGATTGGATATTAGGAAAAATTCCTTCACCAAAAGAGTTGTCAGGCACTGGCAAATGGTGCCCAAGGAAATACCACCATTCCTGGAGGTATTTAAAAGACGTGTAGATGTGGCACTTGAGGACATGGTTAGTGGTGGACTTGGCAGTGCTGGGTTAATGGTTGGACTAGATGATCTTAAAGGTCTTTTCCAACCCAAATGATTCCATGTGTTTATGTAAATCCATTTTTATGCAAGATTTTCCAGGACACAGAAAGTGAATCATCAATACACAAAGAGGCTGATTATGCTAATGAAACATTAGTATCTGACGACACTAACCACAACAGATTATCATGATCTTTCCCTGTACTGACGAGATGAAATAAGGTAGATCAATTAGGAGATACAGTATGGTAATTCTTACCAAGTGGCAACAATAGCAACTAAAAATCCTGTAAATGCTCATTAACAAAGCTTATTATTATACCAAAATACAGTTTCATAAAACTTCTATTTCTGAAAGCAATTTTTTCCCCCCTGTTTTTTTACAGTATCCTCCGGGGAATCTCAGCATCCAGAAGGAATGAAACTTTCAGAGTTTCATTTTAGTTTTTGTCTTTGTTGCCTGTGTAGGTCTTAACAGTACTATAGGAAATCCAAGATTGGGAAGGAGCAGGTGTTTTCTTGGTTGGAAAGCACATTATTGTCATGGAAATAAGACAAATGTTCTACAACACTTTTCTATATTGCCTGAAAAATTTTAGCAGAATCATCACAGGAGAGGCAGCAATTGTCCTACATCTGTAATCTGCTTTGCAGTTGCATCCCTAACTCCACCTCATACCAAAGCTGAGCAATACTGCTTGGAGTGAAAGGCAGCAAGGAATTGTCCACAATCTTGCCAAAATTAGAGGCACTAGGTTGGAATATCTTGCACTTTTGGAAAACAAATAAAGAAAAAAACAGTCCAGCCCTTTCTAAGGGACAGGATAGTGCTTTGAGACAGCACATGAAATTCTGAGTTGTCAAATTTGGGGATCTCCAACCTGAACTTCTGGTGTACCCTTGTCTTACCTCTCAGTTTGAACTGTTCTGTGATGGCTTGTATACAATGTATGTGAAAACAAGGTGGTGAAACCAAAGCCAGAGTCCTTATCTCCCCCATGGACATGCCAGGAAACACACAGTACAGATTCACCGAGAGCTAGGTAATCCTGGGAAGAGCTCCCAGGGGCCCTGGCAGGAACAAATTAAGTGTCAAGTAGACACGGACAGCTGCCTCTTAACCTCCCTTTCTTCCAATTCCAGCACAGACACTGAGACCTTTACTTGCCCATATCTTTGACAGAATAAACGAGGTGTGATATTTATGCTTCAAGCTGGCCTGCTAACAAGCGTGGCTTTCATGGAAAAGTAGATGTACCCAAGGACAAACATAAACAGAGAGGTTTGGTCTACCTCCAAAAGCCTTCTCCCACAGAGGTGCTGCAAGATGCACAAGGGCTGTAATGTGGATTTTCCACAACATAGCAAGGAGTGCTCTAAAGGTTGGTAATGAAAATGCTGTCCATGACACAAAATAACCATTGGAAACTATTAGCTAGAGTTCACTTAGTGAGGACCCAGGGAGAAGGGCATATGGATTTGAGATTTGCTGTGCCCATGATACTGACCTTTGAGTGGCCCTGATTTTACCCATCCTTTTTTTATATTCTAAATGCTGCTTCATGAAAGTTGCTTGATCAGAACCATTTCTGCTTCATATCAGAAGCCAAGTTTTAAATGTAGGCAACTGTCGTGTTGTTTAGGAGAAATACACAAAAATGAGAAGATAAAAAACCCACAAGGAATCTAATAATAAATAGGGCAGAAATGTAAACAAATAGATACTTCATGCTGTGCAATGGTTCACAGCTATTGTATCAACAAGTTGGTGTTACCTTGGAAACCAGAAATTATCTGTACATGCCTTCTCCCAAACAGGAACCCATGAAAAGAGGCATGCAGAATGGATTTTGAGCCTTCTGGGCTTTGCAGAGTTGCTGCCCAGCTGTTGATGCCAATTGATCCCAAACTCAACTACTGATGAAAGTTCAGAGGCAGTGCAGAGGTTGCACCATCCTTCATGCAACACCCAAAGCAATGAGGTGAGTCCCTGGCATTCTTGTCCTCTCCACTAGGGGATAACACAGCCCTTTCTCAAGAACTGGCAGAAAGGTTATGCCCTGCATTCAGTTCAGTGCTCTTGGTTTACCTTGTAACACAAGGCACAGCTCTTTGTTGAGGCTGGGAATTGCTCAGAGCAGCCACCCCAAAGCATGCTGATGGGTTTCCAGCTGATGGTTTCAGCTGGGCATCTTATCCTGGTGGGCATCAGCGAATCTGTATCCCTCTGGAATAGCTAAGTGCTTGGCCCTCGGAAAATTGGTTAGCTGGGTTTACAAGCACAGCTATAACAGAAGGGATAATTCTCTAGTCAGTGTTGAATTGTGAGCAAGCAGAAATTTATACCAAGATATATATTCAGTGTCACCTATGATTACAGAACTATATTTCAGATAAACCAAAGATCTGGATGTCAGGAATTTATGAAAGTGAAAGTTACACTACACTGAACAAGCTAATAAGAAGGAATAATATCGATTTATTTTTTCTAAAGAGATTAAACAAAATCAAGGATTTGTAAAACAACTGATCACAAAACTAGTACTTCCCACAATCCAGCTGGTTTGTTGGAATTTGTACAACACTGATGTTCCTATACAAGTTCTTTTACAGCACTCTGAACTAAAACATGGGCTACAAAAACCATATTCTTCCCACACTGTCAGTAGAACAACTTCTAACAACTGTTACCAACAGACCAGGGACCAGCACAGTCCCCAGCTTTCCCTGGGGTATTTAACCCCAGAACTGCCTCTATCAGATGTGTCAGGTTTCCCTATGGCACATCTGGCTCTTCCCAGCTGTAGTTTACTCTTCTGCCCTGTCTGTCTGTTCTGATCTTGTTTGATGTGATCTCACAATTGAATAAGAGAGAGGCTAGAGCTGGTAAGAGGAAATTTTAACTTCAAATCATGTTTTTTAATTGATTTCAGAATGAGGTAAAAATAGAAGCACTATGAGCATCTGCCTGCCCCTCCCTGCCTTCCTGCCAGGTTGATGTGACAGGAGGACCAGGTCAGCTACAGCGTATCATGCATGTGATGGGATCCTGATTTTCTCAGGTCCAGAAGGGGAAAATGAGGAAGAAGAGGGGCTCTGGTGAAAGAGGTGTGTCAAGGAATAGTGATATGATCTACCACTGTTGCTGAGTTAAGGATGATGCTGTCTTTCAAGTGCAGTACCCATGTACCCATGCACATGGTGGCATCTCGGGTCACCTTGGGCACAGTACAAAGCAGGTACCTGTTGGGACACAGAGAACTAAACCTTGGCAACTCCATACATATGAAGCCTGTTCAGATCCCTTTAACATCTCCTCTTTGCTCTGGTTTGATTTGGGTGACACTCATCACAAAACAATTTAATTCCCAATTTCACAACAACTCAGCCCGTTACAACTGGAGATTCATTTTTAACCACCCACCAGGGATTTTGCAGTCTGTAGCACACTAGACAAATACCTCTCATGTACCCCATCTTTTGGGTTAAAGAACAAAACCAGAACAAGAAGAGGTGGCAATTTTGACACAAAAAATACATTAGGTTCAGTACTTACAACTGCATGACCAGATATAAATGGTTCGGGCTCTCATAGATGTCTTCCAGGGCAACTATGTTTTCATGCTTGATCCTGAAAAACCACAAGATAAGATAAGATAAGATGAAATACTGATTTTAATTTTTTTTACATGACTATGAAACATAAAGCTATTTTTAGTTAGGCACTACTTGTCAGTGTTTTATTCACCATCATAAATATTTTGCAAGGACATGTAGTGATAGAACAAGGGGTAATGGCTTTAAATTGAAAGAAGGTAGGTTTGGATTAGATGTTAGGAATAAATTCTTTACTACGAGGGTAGTGAGTCACTGGAACAGGTTGTCCAGAGCAGCTATGAATGCCCCATCCCTGGAAGTGTTCAAAGCCAGGCTGGATGGAGCTTTGAGCAACCTGGTTGACTGGAAGGTGTCCCTGCTCATGGCAGGGGGGTTGGAACTCGGTGATATTTAAGGTCCTTCCAACTGAAGTAAACAGCCAGAAGTGCTTCACAGCCCAGAATACTGTTATTACTCAGAGAGATTTCTTTCAATCCTCTCCAAAGGCAAAATGTGTAAGGGTTAAGTATATGAGGCATTAGAAGTTCAGATGAATGAAGATGGTTGGTTGGAGGTTAAATTCTCAGGACAGCTTCGCTGCAGGGTATAGGGGACTGACGGAGGCAGGGTGTAGGATGGCAGGGAGAAAGCAGGGATTTGACTCTGTGGAGAAGCTGGCACAAGTAGGCAGCAGCCATATGACAGCTCCACACTCCTTCACACCAAATTCACCCAGTTCTGATGTCCAGCCAAGTCTTCACACCTGAATTTCCCTGCAGCACTGCTAAGCACTGGGTGCTTTCTGTGCAACACCTCCAAGTAACCAATGGGTTTTCTGCATCCTCACAATTCCCACCAAGCCTCTTGTCAAAACACTAGCTTTAAAGACAAAAATCATCTCCACAAGCACCCATCTAATTAACCAGCTGAGCAATGCCTCTCTGGGTTTGGTCCTTAAATGCTTACAAATAATGCGCAAAGGATACATTTAGGTTGTGCAAACCCTAAGGAGACTACCAGTACAACCCCAGGGGCAGGATATTAATTACACCAATTGTAGACAATCATTTTAAGAGAAAGATGGAAAATGCTAAGCAGAGGCCACTCACTAAGCAACAGATGGACATGTTCAGAAAGAAAGTAAACATGCATTGTCAGCAAATCCAAAACTTTACATATGTCTAGGTTCAAGTAGCTTAATTAAGATGCTTAATCATGTATCAGGGCCTTATCTTCAGTGGTCCCAAGTGTCCTAACATCTGTGTGATGATGCTGAGAGCAGAAGATCCCCTGTGCCCAGCAGGATCTTTACTGTAAGCACACAGACTAATTTAATTTCCTCTGAATTCACTGGTAAGATTATGACTGACCTGAATTTACACTCATAGTCATCAGAAGCTTATTCATATAATGACCTTCACACACAGGAAATTTAACATCAACAATAAGCAAACTCAAATATAATGCACTACACGACGTTAGAGTAACAAGTATATGACTTGGCTATTCACTCTACCTAAATATCTGGAAAATCCCATGATATTTTAGCAAAATTTCCAGGTAGACTGTATTGCAAATTAAATTCTTAGTATTTGCAACAGGAAACCAATACACCACCCACTTGGCTTTACACAGCACACGTGTTAGGAAGTGTTTATTTTGTTGTGCAGGTCTAGTGCCTGGTCCCTTAAGGGTTAGGTAGGGCAAGGGCTGGTTTGCCTTGTTTAGGTTAGCTGAAGGTACGTTACAAATGACATTTCAAGCAATTAGTCACATTTAATGAAAATTATTATATGTATTTATCCATTTTCCTTTACGCACATGCACATTTACATGATCGTTTGTGTTCCTCCTACCACCACGATCAGGGCAGTTTAACACAAACAATCTGCCACAGTGTTATCTGCTTAAAGCCCGCAACTCAGAGGTACGGTTTTCACCTTGCCTATATTAAATACGCTTTGCATTTCTATTTTTGAGAACCTCAGAGGTTCCCCAAACGCCCTCTGAGGCAGCCACAGCAACCCCTAACCGTGACACACACGGCCAAGGGGTGGGTTACCCACAGAGCAAACAGCCAGGGAGGCAGAGGCCAGAGGAGAGCTCATCAGACATGCAACACCGCACGCCGAGGGCTGCGGCGAGACCCTCTCCCCTTCCTGATTTGCAAACCAAATGGGCACTGCACCACTGTGCTCTCAGAAGGCAGATAAACTCGCTCAGTGCTAGGGGGGGAGAAGAGGTTTAGTCCCACCACTACAGAGTCCTCTGTATTGAGCCAATCTGCCCCTCTATGAAATCAGATGCAGGATGTGAGCATGTGGGATCCAGCAAATATAAACTAGAAGGCGGCAGCAGAAGAAGTTGAATCACCCCCAAAGTACACAGAGGGCAACGTCTCATAGGGCTGAAGGCATTTGGAAGAAGATGCCCCTTTCATAGGTGATGTCTGTGCATACCAGCCACCACGCTGGTGGCTGCTGCACTCAAGGGGCTTGCTGAGATGGAGAGGAGGTATTTTTCTCCACTTTCTCTCAGCCTTCCCAAGGCCAGCAAGGCCTTAATTGTGGTGTTACACAGTGTTTAATATCCCTGCAAATGAAGCCGCTTGTCCTGCACAGCATTTCTCTACTCGGATGAACTCTCAAATGGTAAGCTATCAAAAGGAAAATGGAATTTAAAATAAAAAAAACCCAGTGACATGGAAATCTCTTGGGGTGAAACCCACAGGTTAGATGAAGCTGGGTGGGGTGTTACTGAAGCTGGACCAGAGCATCTGTGGGCTTCCCAGCAGAGGTCACTGCCCAGCTGCAGCTCCTCTGCCTCTCACTCCAGAAATTCACACAGAAATTTGTGTGGCCCTTTCTTCACTTTAAAGCACGAGCAAGCAATCGTGTACAGCCTGGATACACAATAATTAAGGCTGAACACTGCTCATTTTAATAGCACCCTGGGGTTTGGGAAATTGGGTGTAGTAGCATCGCATTGTTTTGTTGATACCCCAAAGGTTAATGGGGATGGGGCAAATTTGTCCCATTCCTGTGCAAGCAGATCAGCAGTGCCAGACGTGCAGGTAACAGCCAGACACACACTTCAAGCTTGCACGGATGTTTGGGTACATCGAGAGCCAAGGAAAGAAAGCACTGTGCAGTGGCATCTACTTGATGGTCACAGATCAGGAGGGATTTGAGAATGGGTTAATTAACTCCACTTTTATCCCCACCAGGAGCACTGAGTGAATCTCAAAGGTTCAGAGGAGTCATTCTGCTAAGCCTCCAAATGCCTGCACGCAGCCTCCCCGGTGAGCTCGCCCAGCAGAAATACTCACCAGACTGTCTGATCTCCTCGAGACCTGACAGGATTAATTTTTTTAAAAGGTGTTGCTCTCACTTTACAAAAGAGGAAGCACCGTGAAGAAAAACTTGAAGATTTCTCATGAGAGGAGGGAGCAGAAAGGGCCAAGAATCCAGGTGCCTCAGTCCCAGAGTATTATCTTAACCAGTGGGCCATATTATTTCCACCCCTTCTCCTTCCCATCTCAGAGAAACAATATTAACCCCACTTGTTTGTAGCCTTTTTCTTCATTCTGTCCTCCCTGTCCATACTCCCCTTTTCCCAACGTGTAGCTCCCACACTGCAGCTGATAAACATGCACTGGATTAACTCTGCACAAAGCAACACATCGATGCCATTGAAGTACATGATGGGACAATTATGGCTGTAGCAGAGGGGACGTGGACATGCACTGGGGTGACAGCAGTTCCCATTGATTGTTTCCAAATAAATAAAAAAAGCCCTGAAAGTGAACATCAAAGCATGGACTTAGTTAAAGCAAATTAGATCAGATTACTCAAATTGTTATGAACAAGGAAACATCCAGCTAAGGAAAATTGCCCTTACCACCCTTTTAACCTCCCTTTCATCACACTTGCTATTTTTCCTGATGCTCCCCCCCTTTCCTGGCAAACACCACCTGCTGCTTGTGTCTCCCACACCCTGACGTGTCCCCACAAATCCCTCCATCTGTGACACAAAGGGCACATGACACCTCCAGCCACCACTGCTTTTTTCATTTTCAGGAATATTCTGAGGCCATTAGACAGAAACAAGATGCCTAGAAATAAAAATATAAATAAAGAGAGGCTAATGCTTTTTTACACTCCAGTCTCTTCACCCTACAAAGCCCATGAGATGCTGCAATCCAGGGGAAAAAAAAAAAGAGGAAAGTAAATCCAGGAATGAGAATCAGGGAAATTTAAGTATACACAAAAACATGAAGAGGGATTAACCTGGTAGGAAACCATGAAAATAAAGGATGGGTTCCCCATGTTCAGAACAGCCCTGGTTTGGATGCTGTGCCTCAGACAGACACAAACCATGGGGCTCGATGCAACCATCCAAAATTATCAGGCTTCCCCTCCAGCCTTTCAGGTCTATGATTCTGCCCTGTGGTGTTACAAAGGTGTCAACAACATGAATGAAGGCAATGTTGCACTTGAGCAATATTTTAACACATTACTAGCCGAGCCTTAAAGGAGCAAACTAAGCTGTGCAACCAAGGACTTCAAGTGACTTTTCTGGGCATGGCAGCTGTGCAAACAAGGGCTGATGAAAGAGTGTTTGATCTGTGGCAGAGCCCCAAGCACAGACTGGTCCCTTTGCTTGCTGTGGAGCCATTGCACAAGGGCATTGATAGGGGAATTGTCATTTCCCCCTGATTGCTACAGCATTCAGAAACACAGAAACGTCCACCTCTGAAAGAGCTGAAACACATCCCCGAAACAAGACCCAACTTGACCAGGAGTAGCATTTCCTCACTGTACAAGAATTTCCATCACACCAAATGGGGAGTGCTGCAGCACTGGAGTGGTGACGAGTACGTGGTATGGCACTCCAGTGATGCTAAAATCCTCCCTTGCCACTGGCCAGCACAGAGACATCATGTCCTACCCACTGCCACCAAGAGGGCACAAGCTCCATGGGCCCAGAACTAGCTTTAATACACAATATTCCCTTCAACATTTGCAAAAAAAA